GTGTGTATATATATATATATATATATATATAGGTTATATGTTCCCGCGCGTCCCGTTAGTTCCTATTTCCGATGGTACAAGGTATGGTGGCGCTGAAACCGGTCCCCCCATTTTAGCAAGAGCGAGTGTCGACCCCCTGATATTCGATGCCGATATCTACTGTTCCGGCCAAATATGCAAGAACTCGTTTCGCCGCTTGCTGAGTGCTAAATCTCTTGCCGCTAAATGTGAGTTTTGTCGTGTTTATTGACAAATTTACTTAGACTATTCACCGCGAATGCTATATCTGGTCGCGTTACCGTAGCTAAAAACATAAGTGATCCGACAATTTCGCGATACGGTACATGATTTTCACACTCATTCTCTGATGGTACAGGTTTTAAAATAACATTCGGATCCGCAGGCACGCTCACTGCTTTTGCATCACTCATACAAAATCTTTTGAGTATTGTTCTCACATACGCGCTTTGATTTATGAATGTACTTTTACGTTTTCTATCGCGACTAATTTGCATACCGACAAACATACTTGCATCGCCGATAGTAATGTCAAATTTATAACTTAATTCCTTGAGTATCGAACTCAGAACTTCTTTTGATCGACACGCGATTAATCCATCGTCTACAAATATTGCTAGATATACAGTTTGTTGCCTATAATTACCCACAAAAACACATTTATCGGCTTCGGTCTCTTTCAAATTTAATTTCTTTAAAAGATTTTTGAATTTAGTGTTCCAACACCGTGGAGCTTGTTTCAGACCGTATAAAGCTTTGTTTAACACGCATACTACTCTCTCACTCTGGCAATCATCACTCATCCTACCGTCACAAAAGTCACTCGAATTCACTCCTTCGGGAATTTTCATGAAGATTTTCTCCGTCAAATCGCCGTAGAGGAACGCTGTTTGGACGTCAAAAGATACTAACTCCATATCTTCCAGTGTTGTATGCGCCAGTAGTATTCGAAGAGAGTCATATCTCACTACCGGTGAGAATGTTTCCGTGTAGTCGATGCCTTCGCGTTGTTGAAAACCTCTTGCACACAGCCTTGCCTTGAAACGCCAGACCTCACCTTCTTCATCTCGCAAAACCTTGAATACCCATTTAGAATCGATGGTTTTCATGTCAGGTTTCCTGGGTATTAGCGTCCATGTGCCGTTCTGTTCGTGGGCTCTGAGTTCGTCGTTGATCGCGTTGATCCATTCTTTTTTATTTTCGCTATTTAAAGCTTCCTTGTAATCGTTCGGAATTTCGTACACTGCGACATTTGCCTGAAAGCGGCCGGGCTTCTTCAGTGTTGCCCTGTCTCGCAACTGTCTTGACTGGGATCCTGTCGGTGCATCTTGAGACAACCCTTGCTCGTTGCACGCATCCTCTGTCGCGACTGCTTCGTTTTGTTCCACTTCGAGACTTGGCAGAATTACTTCTCTGTCTTCGTATTCGTCTCCGGATGAACTAACGTTTTCGTGTACTACCACATTCCTAGATACGACAACCTTTTTCGTAGTTGAATCGTATAGTCTATAATTTGACGATTCTCCTTCATATCCTACGACCATTACTTTCTTCGATCTTGCGTCGAATTTTTTTGTGAATATTTTCGGCACGTGCATGTAAGCTTCTGATCCGAAAACTCTCACATGTTGTAGATTGGGTTTCCGTCCAGTCCAGGCTTCGTACGCTGTTGTTGTCGCATCGTTGCTTGCTTTTGATACTCGATTTAACGTGTAAACAGCTGTGTTTACAGCTTCCGCCCAAAGAAATTTTGGCAGATCCTTGGCTTGTATGAGAGTTCGTGCGCACTCGACTATCGTACGGTTGTCGCGTTCGGCCTTCCCATTTTGTTCCGGAGTGTGCGGTGCGGTTCTCTCATGTCTTATACCAAGCGATGTAAGATATTTGCGCATATTATCGTTGCAATACTCGCGCCCGTTGTCCGATTGCAAGACGCGTATTGTCCTCTCGTATTTTGTTGCAACTTCACGTTCGAATTGTTTGAATCGTTCATAAACATCCGCTTTGTGTTTCATGAAATAAACGTAACGATACCCTGTTGCATCGTCCTTGAACGTCACAAAAAATCTCGCACCTCCGAGGGATGTTTCTTGCATTGGACCACTGACATCGCTGTGGATGAATTCACCGGGATCCGTGTTGCGCTTTTCACATTTCTTAACAAACGGAAGCCTGTGTGATTTTCCTAGTTGGCACGAATCGCAGAAAAATTCTGTTGAATGAGACACTTGAACACCGTTCACAAGTCCTTCATTCGTGAGTTCCTTTAACGTACGCGTGTTTACATGTCCAAGTCTTTCGTGCCATAACCTCAGACTGGTTGTTGACACGTTCACTTCTCCGTCATTCTCGATCACACGAGTGCGGAAGAGCATTCGATATACTCTGTTCGATTGTTTCACTCCGATCGCGATATCTTTACTGTGTCGAGTTATTTTGGCCCATTCGTTATCAAACGTCACTTTAAATCCTTTCGCGGTACACGCACCGATGGAGAAAAGATTCTTCTTGATTTCCGGCACGTGGAGAACATTGTCTATGCGCGCTTCACGCCACTCTCCATCAATGAGCATTTCTATGAGCGCTGTTCCTTCGCCGATAACATTGCATTGTCCATTATCGCCTAGCGAGATGACGCCACTTTTCCTCGATCGGTAATTTTCTAGCCACTCGCGACGGTACGTAATGTGGGCTGAGGCCCCGCTGTCGGCCAGCCACACCTCACTCGCGTCTTCTTTTAACAGTTTCTGCGCATGCTCAATTGATGATTTCGCTGTTCGCGGCTTTTTCTCCTTCTTTGCTGCTTGCCACAAACGCACAGTCACGTGATTTGTCTCGTTCTTTTTCGTTTCGACTGTTTTCACTTTTTCGTTTCGGGCACTCGCGAGCAAAATGTCCTTTTTCACTACAACTGAAGCACTTCACTTCCTTTTGTATACGTTTTGATTGTTTTTCGTTTCTTTTCGGGCCTTGCTTACTGTCTCTCTGTAGATTTTTCTTTGACACGGCTGCCAATGCTCTCGCATCCTGATTGTCTTCTTCTAATCTACTCTCCTCTTGAATTAGCCGATCTTTCAGGATTTCCAAGGTTTGTCGAGCAGGATCCACACTTTCCCAAGCGGTCTGGAAGTTTCCGAACTTCGGTGTCAGACTCGCTAGGATTTTTGCCATGATAGTTACATCGGATACGTTCTCTCCCAAATCCATGAGTTGTCGCGCCATGTTCTGAATCCTTGCGATATGTTGCATCACGGTATCCGTAGTCTCCATGCGGTACGCATGAAACCGTTGTGTGAGCAACAGTTTATTCGACGCCGACTTCCGCTCGTGAATGGCAATCAGATTATCCCACATTTCTTTCGCGGTCGTATAAATCAATAGATTCTCGAGTTGAGTATATTCCATTGCTGACGACAATAGGAACATTGCCTTGGCGTTGTCTCTGATCCAGATTTTGCTCTCAGGACTCTGATTATTTTCGGGTTTGACTCTGGTTCCGTTGACTATATCGTCAATTCCGTGTGCTATGAGAAGAGCGTTCATTTGGAACTTCCATCCAAGAAAGTTCGTTCCGTCGAATTTC